ATAAAAGCTAGCTTTAGAAAAAGTAGTCTCTGATCAACTCACTAAATGGTATGAAAAATTGCTGCATACAGTATTTTATTTAGATTAGAAATTAATTTTAAGGTGATAAATACTCTGCTATAAAGTAATGAAGAGGCTTAGGGGTTCCAGAGAAGTATGCAGATACTTAGCTCATTCATAGAACTACTGCATATAGATACATGGAAATTGTCCCCTGCTTCATACGAAAGTCGTTGTACCTGGGTATTCATGCTATACAAACACAACCATGCTTTTTAATGTCTCGTTCTTTAAATAGAAAATGTGTAGTCATCTAGCTAGTGTAAGGTACCTTAATCTAATTTTAAAAAGGGGCTTTTTAGAACATTACCCTATCTAGTCAGTCAATATTACTGTGTCTTATCTTGACTTGCCCCTTCTTGCTTTTTCAAACAGTAAAAGGAAACCTATTCCTCCTGCTTTGCACTTGTGTCTTACTGTTGTTCCCTTTTTCTTATGTAATCAGCAGTTCAGATGAACTTTTCTCCCTCTAAGTTGAAGGAACAACGTCCAGGAATTAGGAGCTGTTTATTAGGACATGGTCAGACACTGATGTGAGGACCAAAATGTCGCTGTTGTACTGGGGAGCAGGCAGATGATTGAAAGCTAGCCCGATGCCGGAGTACCTGATCATGATCTCAAATCTGTTGGGTTAGCTCTTGAAAGTCATGCCTCAATGTGTGCTATTTTCCTCTCTGTTCTCTTTGCTTACCTTGGTGGACCCACATATGGTCCTGGAGCACCATGCTGAGAAAAGATGCATTTGTTGAACTGCATGATTTCTTTGCCCTCCCATCAAAGACAGAAGAGTTTAATCCAGATTTCTTCTGGTGTGATAGAGAATAGACTAATGCCTGTTGCATCTAATAGTTTGGGGGTACCTTCCCCCCCACCTTTATGAAAGCAAGCATAGTAAACATTTTTTGGAGTTTCTGCATAGTTCAGGTTTTAGAATTAGACATTCTAGACTCAGTCAAGTTAGGAAATGAAGCTTTTGCAGACAGTGAAATTTGAGATGCAGAGAGGTGGTGACTTGAATTCAAGTCCTGTGTTCAACATCTGCGGGCTGTGATGCAGTAATCCGGGAAGTAAATTTAGGGGGCATATATATTACAGGCATTTGCTTTCATGTGCTAAGTCCAGATAGGAGATTCTTAAAAAGTGTTTGTGGCCGTTTCCTATTTACGTGTACAATTTTTATAAGGAGCTTGCAGTGTTATCATGCAGTTGGAGGTACACAGATGTGCTTCGACTTGATTGCTGGAAATTATGCCTTTATTCACTCAATAACTTCCCTTTTTTGTAGTAGTTGTTGTTTATATGAGAAAATGACATCTCTCCATCTTTTATCTTAAACCCTAAAAAACATCTCTCAAAACCGAATGGTGGTTACACTTTTTTTGGGATGTGATCTTCAGCTGTTAGCCTTCCAGATGGTTACAATTTAACTGAGAGTTTTGTTGATACTGTGATGCTGAGGTCTTGAATGCAAATGATGCTTTTACATATATTCTACTGCGAAAACTGTAACAAAAGGCCTGTTGTTTAGGAGAATAATTCAGATTTGGGAAACTTGATGCAAAGCTGGAAAATCAAGTAACTTTTTTTTTTTTTTCTTCTCTGTGCACGAAGCACTGAATTGCCAGCCTTTCTTTTATTCAGAAGTTAATTTCTTGTTGATTTACATGGGCCATTTGTAGAGTAACTGATTTCCTAGGGAAGCTGTCAACAGAGTATCTTGCTAAAAACATTTTCATTGTACTTTCATGGGCTGTGAGGCTAGTGGATGATAAAAATGTTTATTTCAGTTGCATTTTACACCACTTGTAGTTATTTTTTAATGAAAAGTTTGACTCTAAAGCATTTGGAAGAACTGTAGATAATTTCCAAATGGATTTTTACATTTTGAAAATTCCTTATCTTTTTATTGTAACTGTTGTAGTTATTAAGGCATTTGTATCAGCTTCAGTAAATGGTCCTCTTGTATTCAGTGTTTGATCTTGGATGTTCATGTTTGAACTTGCACATCTTAATTTGATAAAAAATGCCATTCTCTGAGAGTATGAAGCTAGTTATGCTTAGAAGCATGAAGCCTGTGGAAGTCTCAGTGCAGTAGGACCCCTATGAAAACTGATGGTTGCGTAAGTGAGAGCAGAATTTAGCTACTGTCTAATTGAGAACAGTGCTGGACTTCTAACTTTGATAGATCTGATGAGGCAAATTTTAATGGTTTTTAAGTCTGCTATAAAAACTTCTAATCTAAATTTTGTCTCTGTGCTCATAGTTTTCATTGGAACTTGGCTTGTTCACCTAAAGGCTGAAAGAAGCCTTGAGAATGTAAAGTCTTGTGTCAAAAAGAACAAGGGCAAAGGTGGTGATAACAGATTTACAGATGTTTGGTTTATGATGCTTTTTTTTAAAGTTCGAACTCATCACATGCATCAGCTTTTTCAGACTTAACAAAATCTGCAGAATTTACCATAACAGATGACTCTGGAGATGATTATCAGTACAAAGAGGTAATTTACTAAATTGATAAACTTCTGATATATGTGGTAGAGTATTCAAGGTTCATCCTTTTGTTGTACTTCATCAGTCACAAAACCGTCCTAGAAGAAATGATACTATCTCCTTTTGTAAAGTGTGACGATGCTAGGCGTATCTTTATTTTTCAGGAGACTATTTAGTGTCAGTTGATTTATATTTTACTTTTATTTGAACGATAAATACTTTTTAAAAGATACAGGTATTTCTCTTTAGATGTTTCAGCTTATATATAATGAATATTTCAGTAATATAAATTCTATTTAAATATGGTAAAGTATTATTTTAACAAGAATGAGATTATTTTCAGTAGTTGTACCGGGAGTGGAAACAGTTGTATCCTGAAAGAAAGATGTATAAAATATGTTGATGCCTATCTTTAAATCATTTAATTTAGGTTCCAGCGGATGATGAATTTAGTCTGCAGGAAGATGATGAGGATCTGTCAAAGGCTTTGCAGACTATTCAAGAGCAGACTGAAGATGCCCAAATTTTAGTAAGAAGTTCCTAAATATTCTAAGACTCTGTCTGTAATTCGGTTGACATTAGTGCCTTAAAATTTACACATCAGAATTTGTTTTAATTATGAAATATTTGTGTTGAAAAGATTGCGTCTTACTGTTTACACATGTCTAGGCATAAACATATGCCACAGTGGAAAAGGCAACTTGTGTTTCCAGGATTTCATCTTCCTTTAACTTTTGTTCGTTTTATGTTCCATAAACATTCTGATATTGCAAATACATGTAACAAGTATACAGGTAGATTATTTAAAATATATTAATGTTATTACAAGGTATCAGTATTTTAGGGTTTGCTTCTTTATCTGGTAGAGTAGATTGAATGTGAGTGTGATCACTGACACAGGAAAGAAACTGCATATGCTTAAGACCTGCAGAAGCTTGTACTTGGATACTTTGCTAAAACAGATTATTCATATATTGAAAATAAAGAATGGGCTGTTACACTGTGTTAAATCAAAATATTAATGAAATTATCAATCATTTTCACACCATTAGTTTTTGACACTTTTTGCATTTACAGTTAGATTCAAAACAGTCCTGTACTAGTTCATTTACACAATAGGATTGCTGTCTTGCATTTTCCAAAATGATTTACCTGAATTTACGTGCTTATAACAATCTAATGGAAAAATGCTTTTCCCTGCTGTGTTTCTGATATCACCACTGTCTTACAGCTTCATCAGTAAGCTATTGTCAGAGTCTTTGTTTTGCAAAAGCAAATGATTAATAATGAAAAGATAAAATTATGTGAATGATTCTTAACTTCAAAATGGAGGAAAAAAGTGCATTTTCTTCTGCACTAGTGCATATCAACAGATCAGTTTTGTATTTTAGGTTGAACTTTGAATGAAAACTGACAATATCGGAGTCTTACGTGTTTTGAAACTGAATATACCTGAAAATTAAGGGAAAGATGGCAAAATGTCTTAAGACTGAACATGCTTAAGGTTAACCAAGCAGTGGAAATTCTCAATGATCTTTAGGGATAACTCAAGTTATGCCTGTAGTACTGTGTGAGTTGACGTTCAAATAAAAAGTGAAACAGGGAAGAATGTTTTTATCTATTGATCTTTGACGGTGCTTTATTTAAATAATCTTTTACCTCTTTGTTGATTAGTTGAACTTTGAGTGGTAGGAAATAATATACTAATATCTATCCAATTTAATCAAACTGAAGGAAGTGTTACCTTTCCTTGAAACAAAAGAACGTGTGTGCTTAAACTCAAATTCTCTTTGATTTTGTGCTTACGCTAATAGAAGTCTGCCTCCTTGCTTCTTCACTTGTTGTTTGGAGGCCTTGTTTTTTCCACAATTTTGAAACTGAAATACTATTTTCAGCCTTTAGACAGAAAGACATGAATAGAAAAATGTTTTAATATACTTGATAGTTCCTTGACAGCTTTCGTAATGATTTACTGCATATTTTGTGAGGCTCAGTGACTAGTTTGCTTGATGCTAATTCACTGGAAGAACTAAGTGCTGCAGCGAATGCTTTTGGTGACCCAAGTTAAAAGCAGAGTTTGATTTGAATTAGTATTGAATTAATACCCAAACTCTGAGCTAAGAAGCACAGTAGAAGGCTGTCTTCACATGATAAATAACTGGTACACTTTTTCAATTATTAGCTTCTAATCTTGGCTCAACCAGGTTAAATTAGGTAATAACAGTATTCCTGGAATAGCTACTCTGTGATAAACAGTTTTAAGTGACTGTGTGTATTTGCTGTTCATAGTAATTTTTATTCCTAATCCCGTATGAAAGATTGCATGTCAATACTACATGCAAATCTTTTTGTTAAAGAAAAGAGATTACATAGAGAAGACATAGACCAAGTGAGCATCCAAAAATATTTAAGTGATTTGCCAAATGCAGTTACTCAATTTAGAAACTGTGGATATTTATAGAAACTGCAGTTTCTTTTACACTCTGTTAAAAAGGTCAAGTATAACCAGGAAAATCTAAGAAAAATGCTTATTTTCAAACTTCCTTCCAAAGTAATTAACACTAATTACTCAATGAAGAGGAGCAAACATAAGCAAATGAGAGATGGTGCTATTTGCCTATTTTAAAAAACCTAAAATTGGTGTATGGGAATTAAAGCTGTATTTCTCGAGGGGATATTGAGGCATGTTTTCTTTCCTTCTGAATCTCTGCCTGCATGCAGTGGAACTACTGGTCTTCAAGGAGTTTGGTGAGGCTCCCCCAACAGTTACAGTTCCTGTTTTAGTTTGGATCCCAACAAGGAAATGAGGGTGATGGAGCTAAAATCTCTGAATATCATTTCCCCCTAGACTGGTGGTGAAATGGCAGCTGATTCACAATACAGCTGTGCTGGGCAACACGTGCTTTGGATAGCAGTGGTTCTGCCTACTGTTTCTGTTCTAGTCATCATTTGTCCTTTTCAGTCACAACTCATAACTTTTCTTTCCTGTTGTTCTTGTTTTGAGGTATTGTAAAGAAATATAAATTATTTTGAAACACAAGTAACAGAATATTTTGCATATGAAATAAAATGTTCAGCTGATAGGGACCCTAGAAAAAGAATACACAATTTCTGGAAAACCACACACACAAAAGAAAGCTGAAATACTTGCTTCAGCAGTTACCGCTATTACACTTCTGTTCCAGGATCTTTAGTTTCTTAATATCCCAAATGATACTCTGAAGTCACATTGCCCTTCATTAAGCTTATGTTTTATGTAGGTTTGATTTATAATTTGTTTAATCATGTTAAAAATATTTGAGTTCACTTTTTTAGTCTTTTTTAGTTAGTAAGTTTTGCAAGAACATCTCATTTTATTTTCCAGGGAAACTACTGATTTATTTGGTGTTAATCTTTCTTCATTGGACAGAAGTGGAAGTATTATGAAAGTCCTTAAGGTTAAGCTCTTGGCAATTATTTTATTTTACTGACCATATTTGCAATTCTGACACACAAAAGATTTTAATTTAAAAATAAATATTTAACCAAGAAATGTTTAACAAAGCAAATATTTAGTTTGTTTGTTTTGATTTAATGGTCAGAATCCTTTAATAAGGTGCCTTTTATCAGTATAGATTCTACAGGGTGTCTGTCTGTTCCACATTAATAGATTGTATTTTCCTCACTTCTAAATAGGTAAATATATACAAAGAATTACTGTTATGCCATTCTATGGGTAGTCATCCAAGGTTAAGATTAAATTGAAGGAAGTCATTAGCCTGGTATCACTCACAAAGTCTGCAGAAGAGCTAGGAATTTAGTTCTGGTTTCCTGAGGCCCTGTTGCAATACTGTGCCTGTTAGAATGCATTCATTTCTCCCTATATTGTTCCCTGCTCAAGCTTCCGTTCCTGAAATGGTTCTCAGTGCTAGTATCTATCTAATAAATTCTCTTCTGCACAGATGAAATGAATTGCTATCATATTTCCATTTATTAAGGGAATCAAGCTGTGTCATTTCTTCTGAAGACTGGCTTTATAGATGTGCTTGGGAAACTACAAGCAACAGTATTAGACATTTACCTCACTTAGAATAAAGAAAGAAAAGAAGCAAGAAAAGGGATACAGCTGCATGTCTGCAGATGTACTCTCTTTGGTTCTTATACTTCCACAATTAGAAAATAGACCTGTCTGATGTACTGTATCTCTAGTAATGAAAATATGCTAAATATTACATTGTACTTGGCATGTTGTATTATTCATAATACAGTGCTACATGGCCTTGATCGTACATGTACAGTTCTTTCTGTTTATATTAGGTAGCTTGCCTGGATTAAACACAACATTTTCTGTATTATACAAAATGGCTATGAGACTCTTCCTGTGTTTTTATTTTATCAGGCGAAATGCCTTTATCTTGAGGTAATTTATACAGTCATATTGATAGTGCTTCCACTAAGGACATGAATAAGACATAAATGAATAGAGTTATCAAAAACCCCTGGCCTACAGATTCTTTTTTAAATGGGGGGAGGAAATAATTTACAGTCACAGCCTTTAACATGTCTTGATGAATATCTCAGTAGAATTTTTTTCAGTTTTGTTAGTATTGAAATGAAGAAAAGAAGGTAGGCGTGTGTGGAACCTGTTTCTGCTTTTCTCTGCAGTGGTAAATATTTTTGTTAACAATATGCAGCACAGGTTACCATAGAATCTGAGTTTTGAGAGTACACTAAGTGATAGCTGTCAAGCCCAGGTTTGTTCTGTCATCCTCTCACAAGAAGGCAGGCATGTGCAGTGCTGTATCTTGTCTTGGATAGTAGCCTGCATTGTTTGAGCAAGTCCATTGTAGCATTGTTCCCATGTGGGGTTCCCAAATGCTGAGACCCTCATATTTTGGTATGTCAAGTCCCTTGTGATCCACTTGAAGTCTGAATGAATTAAGACTGCTTGTCCGGCTGCCAAATTGTGGCAGTCTCTCTCATCTGGTTATCTTTAAATGCATTTTGTGTGTGGGTAGTCTCAGACTGGGTCACATTTTACTTTTTCATACCTCCTTGCATCTTGAAATCTCTCTAGGAGAGCTTAATACCAAGCTATGCACTGAGTGGGCTGAATAGGGTTGGGTGAGGGAAAGAAATTTGCCTTGCAACAGAAAGCTGTGAAAAGGATTTTTTTTTTTTTCTTTTTCCCCTCTGTAGTAGGATTGCTCTGTTTTATTTTGATTTTGGTAACTGTGCTTGACCCATGAGTTGCTCTTATCTGAATAGCTGTCTGTCATGATGGCACTGGAGAAGCTGCATATGAAGCGTCGATGCACCATCTGCATTCTGCTAACACTTGTAGCAATGTTGTCTGGCAGCTTCATTCAGTGTCTGCGTACGGATGTTGAGAAGAAAAGGGAGAATTGGTCTTTGTGAGACTGTCTAAGAAATCCAGGGGATGGAGATGCAGAGCTTTCAGTCTCTCCATTGTGTGCATCTTAGAAAAAGGATATAAGCTGTTTTACTATCACCTTGGACTTTTGCATTTTTCATTAGATGGAGTACTGATTTTTCTCATCAGTAGTTTTGAAGGTTGCTGAAGGGTGCAGCAGTATGAGAACTACCATTTTCTCTCTGGTCAGCAACAGACGATCATCCATGAGTTTAAATAGTTTTAAGTCCATATCAGATTATGTCAGGCTCAGAATACTTGCTTAAATCAGGTGATTTTTGAGTTATTTCTCTATAACCTTTCACAGACCTTGACATAAAAAGGATCATTAATTACTGATCTGATCAATAAAGACAGGGAAAACATTCAGCTGTACTCCAGTAGATCTGTGACTTTCGATGACTTCAGAAATAGAAGGTATGATAATTACATTCTCTTGTAGGTTTAATAGCAATTATCGAATTTTAATTTCAGGCTTTGCAATCAGTCCTGACTTCTGAGAAATCGGTGTCTGAAATACCTGAAGCAATGGATGACTTCTTCTGCAATTTCCTGGTCAGAATGGGAATGTCCAGAACCCTTGACTGCTTCCAAACTGAATGGTAAAATATTTTAAGTGACCATGTTACTTTGAGAGTTAGGAAGTAGATGTTCAGGATTCAAATATTTCCAGTATTTCAGGATATGTTACCAGAAAACTCTTCTGAGTAAAAGCCGTTCTTAAAAACGTAGTATCTTACCAAATAACTATATTAATATTGAGCATGAGGATGTAAACTATTGTTTTAAGGACAGAATTTCAAGAAAGCTGACTTCAAGGGAGCACTTAAACAGGTATGTTAGAAGGACTGTATGCATTTCACCTAACTCTAGATATTTACAAGCCTGAAGTGGTCACCTGAGGCCTCTTTTGTGACCAGTGAAGAGCAATACTCATTTTCAGGATGCAACTCATGAGTTGTTTAAGCCATGTCCTTTTGGATGAAATGAGTTCAATTATATTTTTTTTCAAGTATATTCTGCTCTCAACTCATTACCAACAAGAACTAAAACCAGTTACAGTGCAGAAGTCATCATTGGATTAAATGAGAACAATGCAAAATGACCAGCATTTCACTTCAGCAGCGCTGTGAAATCATGTGGGTTTGTGAGTTTATTGCTTTCCAGAACATGAGTGCCTGCTTAAAAACTGAATATTTTGTAGTATGTTATAGTATTTCCACCTTAATTGTTTGGGTGGGTTTTGAAATTCATCATAGCTACCTTGTATTTTAACTAGAATAATCAAATTTTTTGATACTTGGTAATTTTTGGTACATCAGTCGAAACAATATGGTTGTTCTGTTTTTTTCTTTATGGAATTTAATTCATAGAGTAATCAGAAGAGTAAACTCTTGAGCTGTTGCTATCATCTTTTTTCCCAGCTTTTATAGGTTGCAGGGATTTTGTCCGTACTTTGTGCAGAAGTTTAAACATGCAATTTTGTCTAAATGCTCCACTTCCTCCACCACTCTCTTAGTATATGGAATCTCACAGGATCTACATTTTTTTGATATTGATTAAGAAGACGTGACAGGAATGCTGCAAATCTTGACAGCTGAATTATTTCGGAGCAAGAGATGACACTTGTCGTATAGTTCTATTGAATTACCTTCAGTTGCAAGCTTGCTTTGAATCTGCAAGTACACTGGAAGGACTCAGAGAAGTGGAAACACCTCTTTGAGTTGTCTTGTAGTCAGCCTTTAAACATGAGAGGTTCAGAGATTTTTTTTTTTTTTTAATGAGGTCTTTTGAAATTGTTTCATTTGAAAATTAGTAAACTTGAAAAATTAGAAACAATTTATTTTTTCTTGCAAAGCCTTGAAGCTTTTAAATTTTCCTAGAAATAGTGTCTAAAGGGGAATCATTGCTGTCATTTGCAAGGCTCTGGTCTTATTAGTGTAGAGGTTAGCAATCAGGCATTGCCTTTGGAATTAATAATGATTTGCTTTTTGATAGCATAACAATGCAGCTTAAATGATTCCTTAGAGAAGGAGAACTATAGTTCTGTATTCTTTTTCAATAAAAGAACTGATATGAATAGCATTAAGTTTGAAGTTTAATGGGTTTTATGCTAAAAGATAATTAATACTAGACAGATTTAAATAGTGACCTTTTTATGAAACTGCAGCTTTCTTTGAAGCACTTAGTCTGAATTTATATCAATGGCAAAATTCAAATTGCTTTTTAACAGAGCAAGTGCAGGTCTTAGCAGGCCCTGTCTTGTAAATCCTTAGCTATACATATTTTTTTTTCTCTATAAGTAATATTTTTAATTTTAGTAGCATTACAAATGCGCTCAGCATGTCAGGATCTAATCTTACTGTATTGAGACTTCTTCTGCATTAATACCTTATTTCAAAATGTTTCATGTTGGTTTGAAATAGATAATTTACAATATTAATGAAAGTGAGAGCAGATTAGTGTACTCAGGTTCCTCATTATGTGTTGGGATGACTCTTGCTCTCGTGCTGTGGTGATCAAGTACTAATGGAATTTAAAATGAGAAATTAATTAACATAGAAAAGATTTATCAAAAGGCTTGCTTGGAAATAATTGTCTGAGATCTAAAGGTCACTTAAATGGGATCAGATTATCTGTGTTTATTTCAGAGTTTGAGAAAACATTCTGTTATTCTATTCAGCTGTATAAAATGTCATGATTTGGTTATGTTTTATTTTAAGCCAAACCCACTCTTTTTCTATGATGTAATGAATAATTTTATCACACTTGTAGTGTTTTTTACTTTTGTAGTTTTTTTGCATGTATACTTTTTTCTTCCAATTACACTTTAAGGAACTTAAAATTAGACTGAAATTATTTTTAGGCTGTCTAATTTACCATTAAATTTTCTGTTCCTTTGATATGCAAGACTTTACAGTGCTTTTGTTGCTTATTAAAGTTGTTGGGTTGACAGCTTTGGAGTATGAATTGCAAGGGCTGATCAACTGTAAAGTCATGCATCTGACAGTCTCTAGCTCCTAATCCCAAAGAGCTCATTGCTGCTGGCAGTGTGTTGCCAGTCTGATGAGCAGATGAATCATTTGCTGTTCACACATATGCATGGAGCTATCATGTGATTAGTTAGTACACTCATTGGACTGGTAATCTCTGACTAAGTGTTCCTAGAGACCTGGCAGTGTTTCAGCTTGTGAGTAAAAGCAGAGCTGCAGGCTAATTACGGAAACATGATTTGAAAATTCTTTCCTGTTTGAGTAAAAGCAGACCTGCAGGCTAATTATGGAAACATGATTTGAAAATTCTTTCCTGTTTGATGCAGTTAAAACTATGGATAAACTTGCATGATGGAACAAGATTAAAAGCTATGTCTGTCTTGTGTATGCCTTGCAAAGATTGCCTGGGTCGTGCGTAACGGAGTACATGCAACAAAGCTACTATGTCTTCTTTGAGCGTAAAGGTGGACTCATTACAAAAAAGTTCCTTTTTGCAGAATTAAGAAAATGGATATAGGTTGTGATCTTCCATGTCACAACTCCCTGAAGACAGTGGAAACAGTCTGCTTATTTCAGGCAGACCTAAGTTTCCTCTGCTCTGTGTCCTCTTTGGCCTGGAAATCATAGGGTCACATTAATGTACATTGTGCTCAGAGCTCATAAGTCCTGAGAGGAATGTCCAGTTCCAGGACAGCATCACGCTAAAACAGATTCAGTTTTTGGATTAGAACTAGCTCAGAACATGAGTGAAGTAACCTGAAGTTTGATTTGCAGAAAGCTACGTGGACATACCTAATTTCTTGCCTACATAACAAACATAACATAATACACGTTTTCTACTTATATGCCATAGTAGATGGGAAGAGTACACTATTTTGCTGTGCTCCTTTCTTTCTTAGCCTTCTGTTGAAACTGCTTAAGTGGTTATCAACTGGAATGATAATTTCAGTAAGTAGTTCTTGTAAAAGCTCCAACTTGAAATTTTAATCCCTGAATGGATCTCTAGGTAAAGGTTTATCCTGAGCTGTGTATGAGTTAGTTTATTGCCATGCCTCTCTGCAACCTGATTCCTGTAGAACTCTTACAAACTTGAATTTGATGTAATATATATAGTAATAATGTATTATTTTTAGTCAGTCTGCACTGGGCTTTGATCATAAAATCATAGCTGACCATCTGTTCCTTAGCTTTCCAGATTCTTGATTAATTTAAAATAGTGATTCAAGAGTAATAACTCAGTCGTTCTGGAACGCTTAGAAAAATACCTGTGTGTGCATGGCACTAATTTAATTTGCATCATGGTTCCCTTCTGTAATGGAACGAATTGAGAACAATAGGTATTTAGCGGTCGGCTAGGTACATAGGAGTTCTGTAAGTTTTACACGTCCAGGTTGATGAGAGATCATGAGATTTCTCAATGCAATTTTGTTGTGTGGTTTTCTGTTCCATTTCTGCTACATGCGCAAAAGCCTTCAGTTTTAGTAGTGTTCTTAAACAAGGGAATAGTGAATATTGACATTAATTGTATTTCATTAAAATTACCTTTCAGAGTTCTTAGCTCTGCTGGAGGCTAAGTTCATCAGTTATCCATGTCTGAGGTGTCTTCGTGCAGAAATGTGATGGTTTTCATGAGGTGCAGTTAGGGCATTCAGTAGAGAAATTTTTCTGGCAAATAAAGGAATGTGTAGAGTTGTGATCATTTGCAATGAGAAGTGTCTTTATTTGCAATATTTCCAATAGGAAATGTACCTGCTCATCAGTCAATGTTTGTTTGAAAACAAACAAACAAAAAACCCTGCCAAAAACCTGAGCTTCTTAGTATTAAAGCCTATTACTACTGTAATTTGCCGAAGAAAGTGAAGTGATGATAGAATGAATTTTGCTTTGGACACGTTCAGTTTAACTTCTCAAAAACCTTTCATCTACTGGTGGTGAATGTGAGTGACAGCTTAATCTGTAGGGGTGAGCACTCCTAGAAGCATCCACAGAATGCAGATAAGTAGCTGACCATAGGAAGTCATTTGGACATAAGAGTTTCTAACATTCCCCTTAATTTTTTTGGAGGATGTGAAGTAAAAGTTGCTTGTCAAGTAAGAATCCCTTATTCTACAAATACTTTTTGTTTCTTCAGCATGTTTTATTTTTCTAGGAATGCTGTGCTTACCGTCCTGAAGTTTCAAATGTGCTGGTTCTGTCCAAGTGCAGGAGATAGCATTTAGTATAATCTTTAGCTTTAATTACTGCTGTTCTTTTCATACTTCCTTATTACTTGGAAAACAAATAATACACAATCAATATATTTTTCACCTGAAAAGGCGAATAATGTTTGTATTGCTCCTTCTAGTGAGTTCCCACCCAGACTGTGAAGATCACCACGGAAGAATATTGTTGGGCTATAGTCTTTATCTGATATAAATTATTTATAGTTTCATTGCATCTATGCTGAACTGGTATCATAGCTACGGTATGGCACAATGGCTTTCTCTTCAGTGGGTCTATAAAAGTTTGTACCAACTGAAGGTCTTGCTCTTCTGTCTTCCAGGACAGAAGTAGATGAAGAAATAGATGTTTTGTACCTACCTGTGCTGGAGCCTGGAATCACATCTGCAATGTCTGCTTCCACAGAAGCTCGTATATGTAGACTTGAATCTTGATGTCTGTTGAAATACTTTGACAAATACTGATAGCTTATAATCATTCCTTGAATAAGCATGATTCTGCAGAAGCATTTGTGTGGTGACAGTCACGTTTTTTGGATCAAATTTAGCTTTTCTGAATCCTTTCTTGTATCACCACTGTCTTTCTTTTTGTATAGAAGATACTTAGGTACTTTCAGTTGCTCTGTACTTAAATGCCTTTAAATTAAACCTAAAATGAATAGTGGCAATGCCAGCATCCTTTTTACTGCCTGTTAGGGTATTTAGCTTTCACTGATGTCCTACCAAAAGATGGATCGTCCTAAAAGATGTGAGACTGAGTAGACTTTATTGCCAGGGGCTGTAGAGATTCCTAGGTTGTTACACACCATTACATGCTGCTCCAGATTCTCTTTTACCTCTCAAAACACAAGTTAGTCTGTACAAGTATTTAACTAAAGCAGCCTTTAGGCTTCTACATCATGGAATCATGTTTTCTTGGGGGCTGGTAAAATAGGTAAATATTGGTAAATATAATAAGTAAGGAGAGGGCAACATAAGTAAACAAGAAGGAATGAAGAAATTTCCCTAGGTGAGCTCTGTATTCCATGTTGAAGATAACCTGAATGAATGGTTCTATGAGCTATCTGCAGCTTTGTCATCTTATTTGAGTCCTCAGAAAAAAATCTTGCATATGTTTGAGCATATGAGATAAAAAGGACTATGAGTACATACAAATGTTATTTGAACAAGAATTTTTTTCTGTTTTTTATTTAAGCTATTTGGAAGGAAGGAAGGAAAAGAACAATTGTTTGAAGTACTGTGTTACACAGCATGTCTTGACTATTATGAGCAATAATACATTTTAGAATGAAATGCAGTAAAATAGAACACAGTGTGGTGGGATAGTACAGTTGCTAGTTGTTAAGGGTCATAAAAGGTAAATGCCTTGAGATGATAAACACCTTTGTGATTCTAGTTTAGGTAAATGCTAGCATGAGAAGGGAGACATCAGTGAAGCGAGGAAAAGGGAACAAAATAAAATATCTCTCTGTTTCTTTTCTACTAGGTATGAACTCATACAGAGAGGTGTGTTCACAGCCAGAGATGCTGGATCAGTTCCAACTGTATATACCCACAACCAGCAACTTGAGGCTGAGAATATGCGTTTGAGGAAAGATTTGGAAGACTATAAACTTGCTGCAAAGTATGTTATTTGGTCTTAATGAAACTTTGATATATGGTAGTAAATGGCCTGATAAAGCAAACCCAAGTACTTAATGGAACTAATAAGTTCCTGTTTGTTATGCTGGCTGCACAGGTGTTTACTTCTAGGCGACATAATTAAAGTTCAAATTTCTCTGAGCTCTATTAGAAACCTAAATCTTTATTTCTTTTATTTGTGTTTACTGGGCTATAGAAAGTAATTTTCAATATCCAGTAATCACAACAAATTACTATGAAGAATCATGAGTGTAATATGTAGAACTGAAAAATAAATAGTTATGTGCATTTTGTGTTAAAATACAGTACTACAAATTACAGTTACCACAAAACATCAACATAGGGAAAAAAATCACTATACGTTTCTTCTTCTTTTTTTTTAATTGCAAAAAATGTATCACTCTGGCCCTACTGGTAAATAGTAAGTCAGTGTAAATTGCCATCATTGATTATACTTGTGTGTATGTTCTAGTAGTTGATTTTACAAGTCAGTTGTGCTTCAGTCATAAGAGAGTTAAAATACTTAGCCTATGTAATGGGGAGATGCAATAATGAGCTACATGTAACATAGCCTTTTCTGAAGAATCGTGTGCCTGCGCATGTGTGTGTTCATTGTGCCAGTGCATAGTTTTAAAACATGGAGCCGTAAAAAAAATGTTAACTCCATCTCTGATTTTCCTCAAGACTGCTCAAGCTACTAATTTTCATTTAGATTGTTCCTTTATATGAAAAATAGCTACTCAGATCTTAATCACTGATTATGATAATAATCATAAATTATTTTCCAATGACAATGATTTATTACATTTTAAATTAATAAATTAATTGACCACAGTCTAATAGTTAGGTAAACAGTTTTAATAATGAAGTCAAATGTCATGTAGTCTAAATGCATTGCTGCACTGGGAGATGGGCCATATAGAAAATATTTCTTTAATTTCAGCTGCAGCTTCTTTGGATGATGGATAGTTAGGGGTTGTGTGTCTCATTTGAGTAGGAGAGTAAGAAGCAGTTATGCAAAGTAAAAGAAGCAAAGACAAAGTCTGGCCCTTCTGAAATTTATTGTCAGTAGTAATTTTAACAGGCTTTCTTTGTTGTTCCCCCCCCCCCCCCCTTTTTTCTTTCATTCTTTTCCCCCTGTATGAAGCAGAACATGCTATAACAACGATAATCTGAGTGGGTTATGACTTGATAAGAGTTTTCCTGGGGTTGTTGTGTTGCTACATGATTGTTTAAGAACATAAAGCTCTAACCGTTTCACCGTGATCATGAATCAGTTGGGGTTTTCCCATAAGAATGCCTATATATTCTCTACAGGCTGCTAGAAAAATTTTTATAGCAGATGTCTAGTTAAAAGGCTGAAAGATGACAAGATAATGCAACAGGAAGAAAGCAGGAGAGGGAAAAGGCATTGCCAGCATACTAGATTCCTACAGGCTGTCTGTTAAATAGAGCTCCCACTACTCACTTAAGTGAACTGTGCTAAAAAAGTAAAAACAGTCTGTGAACTGAAACTGTGCCTTGCTTTTTCACATTCTAGTGTTTGATGAAATGTAAAATAGAAGTGCACTGGTGGTAAACAAGAGTTGTGTCACCTGTTCAGTATTCCAGAGAGGGCAGCGAGATAGAGGTCAATTCTGTATTGACACAAATTAAAGTGCGTAAATTCTGTTCATTGGCATTTACTGTTCAATACTGCACTTATTGTGCATGTACCTTGTTAATACACTGTTAAAATTAGTCCTCCTTTATTAGGAAGAATTTATAGGGAGAGCTCTTTATTTCCATAGTCTTTCTGCTAATACTAGAGTGTAGTATATGTAGATGTGACAGTTGATTCGTGCTAATGGTCACCACTTTGTTTTTTGACTTTTTTATTTCAAATAACTTTCAAAGTTTTCATTCATGCTGATGTTAAATGTTCAGCACTTCTGTGACATTCATTTAACTTATTTTGAATAATTTATTACTTAAACCAGTACTGTTTCTGGAATAATGGGTGAAATTGAACATTTCTGCTGTATGTACAATGAGTTACAGTGTCCCTTTGTGTCTTTTGGGTAAACCCTGATCATAATGCTCTATGCTAAATCCACTTACTGCAGTGACTGTTAACAGCATTTTTTCTTATTCATACATTCAATAACTGGAGTCGGTACCCTTGCTATGATAAAGCAAATATTCCAGCAGGAGCCAAAATTACCTGGAGGACAATTTGAGTTTTCATGTATTGAGAGAGAATTCACCAGGTTTTGCACTGAAAACAGAATGCCTAAGAGAGCTGAAGAAACGCTGATTTGACTGGTTAGAAACCAAGGATTTGTGAGCAAAGAAAGCCTCATATTTTGCTCTGTGGATTAGTCAGAAAACTTTCATGGTGAGATACAGTGCTGTGAAGTGTATTTAAAGAAAGCTTTTAATTACATTTGATGTTTCCCAGCTTGGTACTCTTGACAGCCATCTTACAGGAAAGAGATGTTATTTGGCACTTAAGCAGTATGAGGGCCCAGGGTAAATGACTCTAAACCAATTCCCTACTGCTTTAATGTTGTTTAGCAATTGGTGGAAGAGTTTCAGTGTCTAGAAGCTATCTGTAATTGTATTTTGGGTATTTTAATATAGTATTTACGTGGCTGCATGGCAAGCAGGTGGTCAAATAGAGTAGATGGCAGGCTGTTGGTTACATGTCACTGTGGTGTTTCATTAAAGAAAAAAATCACAATCCTCTTCACTTCCTGTATACAGTGAGTATGTATTTTTAATAGGTTGTTCAATGTCTGAAGGAAGGTGTCTTGAGATGTAACAAAATCTCTGAATGCATACATCAAAAGAAATAAATATCAGCATAACTGTTTTGCTCCAAAGCTCATGATAATTATTACCTTAAGGTTTTGATACACTACTAATCTTTATGTAAATGATGTCTAAAAACCAGACATTGTGTTGTATCCCCTTTTATTGTAATTGATTGATAAGGGATGTTATCTGCTGCAGTATTTCTCTAATGGAAACATAGATATTCTTTCCAATATGCAAGAAAAATTTGAAAAGAACATCTCTGAAAATTGTTAACTCTTACAGGAGACTAGTTAGTTTTAATTAATTGTCTTCAGTGATGATTTGTCTTTCAAGGATTTAATATTCTAGTAATATTTGCTTGAGTTGAATAACAGACTCATTTCATAGGAACATTAAACTCTACCTATCTGATGATTTAAAATAGCTTGAATCCCATCTGGTTTGATGTTTTCCTATGGCCAGACCCTCTGTATTGCCTCTGTATTTAGCTAGACAAATAATGGTATATCAGGTTTAAGATTCAGTTAATCACAGGGACTGCTAACTGTGATATTTCTAAGTTCTTTAAACATTTAGGAATTTATTAGGTAGATGGAATGAAAGTTGTGTACAGCTTTTGTCTAAGATTTGTAACTGAGTTCACAAACATCAGTTAGGAAGTTTAAACACTTGCAGGTATCTTTTAAGTGCTGATTTTTGGAAGCGTGCTCGCAAATATACACCCAGTTTACAGACACAGTAACAGTCAAAATATAAAGCAATCCTGGAAATCATATTTATTATTACTGTTAGTGCTAATACCAGCAATAAAATACTCAGCTGATCTCCTATTTCTGTGCCAAAATCTAACCATTCCTGCACATATTTCTCCACTTACATAAAATAAAATGCACACTTTTTATGTTGTGCACCATATTTAAATGCATCTGTTTAATTACGTGGTACATTTAGCATCCTTGCTGCTAAATGCTATATAAACTAGATAGAGTAAAAGCATGAGAGTATATGTTTTCTAAAACAGTCTTTATTTCTATTAAAATTTTAGGGCTACAAATTGCAGCATCTCAATGAATAAAGTCCTACCTAAATTCAGAGGGAACAAGGCACATAACTCACCTTTGAAAATCCCTACTTGGATTTATTTGGCCCTGTCCTCTTCTGTTGTTTTTATGAAACTGCTTGCTTGAGACAAGTTTAAATGGAGAGACCTGCAGTCTTTAGCATATATCTTAACTGAGAGAAACGGGTATTGGCTTTGCTATGGTTGTAGCAACATCTTTTACTCTTAGAAGCCATCTGCTTAGCTCTGAAGGGGCAGGTCTGGTATTCAAGATGTTATGGCAAGTCAGATTTTGTGAGTGGTGTCATGAAGGGGTTGTTTCACAGAACTATGTCAAGACCACTAATTCATTTACCTCTCAAATGTTTCGCTGTTCATAGGAGCTTGAGCAGTATCATTAAGCTGTACTTTGTAGTCCAAGGGCAATATCCAAAGTCGCTTTCACAACTTCTGGCATTTGTGCACATGCATACACAGAGCCATGTGCCTGCCGACAGTGCCTTTCAGCTCTTCACAGTGTTACTGCAGGGGCAGCCCTCCCTGTTTTCATTTCCCTGCCAGCTTTTTCTCAGTTTTGACTGATATATAGCACAATTAATTCACTGTGCTTTTCTTCAGGTCTTTCTGACTGTTCCTGCTGCAAGCAACAATTCACACATAAATGTACATGTATAAATATGGTCATTTGTATAGATAATAAATATAGCCAATACATCTATAGTAAATATAAATTATTTTACAATTAAATATAATGCACTGGCAGTTACGGGTCTTGTTCCCGGACCTGTGATTTTTGGCATACTCCACTGTCATAGTGGTTTTCCTAACTCTTCGACTCCTGTTGGGGAGGAAATTATTTTTGCAAAAAGCAAATACTTAATTTCTGTGCAAAGTAATTTCAAACTTCCTTTGCAATTAAACAATTCGTCTACTAATCTTCCCTGCCAAACCCATATCATTAAAGGCAAGGAGAAAATGTACGAAATATATACAGACTATTTCTTTTATATTTATGGAGCAGAGTATCTTGGGGTGTCCCGTGGCTGTGTGTAGAACATGCTTAGAGAATAACAGGTTATCAGTATGTTTGCAATTAATTCCTTTTGCTTCCTGCTGTCATGTACAGGGGACACTCAGGGACAGGCTGCAAATATGATTGACTAAAGTCTAGAACTTTTGTAGCACATTTTTTTCCAGAAGCTCTGTAAATGCATGTATTTGCAAGGCAACAATACAGTTATCCTTCTGTGTGTGTCCTTCTAGCATGTACCATTTTGTTGGGCTTCAGATGTGATGTACATACTAGAAAATTGGTATTGCAATACATTTTTGTGTAGAACTTTAAACTCGCAAGACCCCTTGTGCTTAAAGTAAGGTTGACCTCAACTGGGATTTACTATGCCAGAATCCTTATGGATTCTGTCTAAAGGAACTGAGGGAGGGTGGAGAGTACCCATGGTGTTGTACATTAGCTGTCAGCAAAAAGACCTCAAAAGTACATCTTCACCACAGGGCATACTACCAAAGGTTTCCAACTTGGGTGCTGTAGCCATGTATATACCTGAAAATTAGTTCTGTATGTATTCAGCATACCTTGACAAGCAACTAAAGGAGGAGACTAATACTTCTGTCTTGCATTTTCTGTTTACATACAGCAAAGCAAAAGAGGCTTTCCTAAAAATGCAGAAAGAACATGACTTCCATCGAATGCATCATAAGCGAGTGGTCCAAGAGAAAAACAGGCTTATTTGTGACATTAAAAGGTAAAAAATCATTTTAATTACTATACATGTAGTATTAAAGTTGATGTCTTCAATTATTGCCTGGTAATGAGATAACATTGTGGAATTCAAAGTGCTAGGTAAAGCTGGCTGCATTTAGTTAGTGTCCTGGTAAACAGCAGATCCATCTGATCATTCTTAAACAATTTCTAAAGATTTTTTGGTATATTTTCCATGGTGTGATGTGGCATTAATAAACACATAGTATTTCTAATAGTTGAATAGTTCTTTTGCCCGGATCCTTTTCTATAAATATGTCGTGATTTCTGGGTTTAGACCCGTTGTCCGTTTTAAGGGTAATTGGTATCACACTGAGTTCAGAACCTTTGTGTGTTCGTGATTGCCGTAGCTGGTATTTTCTGTCCTTTTACATTTTGAACTTCCTGTATGAAACTTGATATGTTGCTTTGATTGCAAATAAGCCCAAGCTAGTCCATTGGTACTGAGTTACAATAATTTATTTTATAATACTTAATTCTGTAATTTTGTCATTCTGGAAGAATGTAAATTTGCTGTTAAGTGTTATGCTACTTTGCCTCCATGAATAGAACTTTCATCTTTTGCATCTTTAGCCTTGGAATCCATATATACACATGCAAGAGAGTACTATTTCCTGACTTATCCTCTGTGTGTCAGGTTTTTGAGGCTGTTACTGTCATGTGTTTTGCATGAGAGATTATGTATCTGACTTTTAATTGGTCTCAAGAATTAAAGTGGTTAAGTATTCTAAATGTAATGTGCAGTGAAGAAAGAAATAGTAATCACATTTTACTGTTTTGTCTAGATTAGGATCTTAGTTACTAGTCAGATAATAGCCGTAATTCTCTTTCTTCCAATGAAATACCATCTGCAAGAAAACACAAGTTAACAAAAATTGATGTGCAGTATGTGTATGAAGGGTTAAGAACAGGTCAAAATTGGATGGATTGTTTTAAAAGATATGACTACACAAACTATGAATCCTCTTATTGATCTGACTTCTTATTTTTGTTTTTTCTCTGGTGATATTCCAGTTGGATTGTTATGTGCTAAATACTCTCCTCTGTTGACCTTTTGGCACTTTTACTCTCTTATTTGGGGAGGGAAAAAGGTACACAGACTTAAATCTCTGATTTAACTCATCTTTGAGAAGTCATTTGCCCTGTTCTTGTTCACAGGCTGAAGGCACATTATGCATCATATGAACCAGTGCTGAAGCAGCTGACTGAAAAATACCAGACTACGCTGAGGCAAAAAATGTTAACTAGTTTGGAGAGAGACAGAGCAGTTGGGCAGGTAAAACTGTGGTGAACACCACTTGCAAAGCTGTAAGGAATGCTTTTGTTTTTTACTTTGGTAAATACACAAGATATTTCTGTTAAAGTAACTCATTTATGCGGTATTTTGAAGCAGAATATTTTATTAGTAAGCTTCAGGATATTTGGTGGAATGTAAATATTGAAAATATATTGAAATATTGAATACAGTGCCACATATTAATATTGAAACAGTGCCACATAATAGTAGTTCTCAGACTGTGCTTGCTCAGTGCTACTGTACTTGCTCAGCACCGCTGTACATGAGTCAGCAATGTGCAGGCTCTGTTCTACTTTCAGTGTCAACAGCTTAAGGAAAGATGTGGTATTCCCACAGATTCACATGCTTCCATCTATGCCTTTAGAAATCTCTTATTTTAACTTTTTCTTTATTACTATTTATTGTTTTATTTTTTTCCTAAGTACATCCAGGAAGACCGACTAGTTTAGGAAAAATACATTAAGATATCACAGTCAGTATTTCTGTCTTGTGAATGGAATAAGAGTAGTATTTTACTCCTGTAATCTTATTTGATGTGTAACTTGGTACACAAGGAAAGAGAAGGGAAAAAAGAAAGAAAAGAACCTCCCAAAATGCATTGTGTTTCAGCAGTAGCATCAGTTATGTCAGTAACATGAAAGGAATTTACCATGTTTGCACTCTTTTCTGATAGTCCTCATCTCTCATTTCCTCCCTTCCTCTGCCTCCAATTTTTCTTGGGTCACTTGAGGGCTTGCTTTTAAAAGACTGAGGATTATATGTTTGAAATTTCAGTAAGTAAAAGAAAATGTCCTATAGAAAAAAAAGTTACTGTCCATATACTGTTATGCTGAATCGGGAGTAGGAAACATAAAACAGTTCCAATGCTATGAAATTTCAGGGACATGTGCAAGACCTATCCAGTTATGAACTGTATGTATTCTGGAGTGATGACTTTTTTGGTAACACATAACATCATATTTTGTGGCATCTTCTTATGACAAAGCTGTATGTCAAATTGTGCCATTAAGTTAAAGATCAGTGAAGTGGTAGCAGTGGCTGAAAGTTGATGGTGCAGTAAGAGCCCTGGTATCTACATTTCTATATTGTTTTAATAGAGCTGTAAAAGTATTTTGAGAGATTCTGGATGGCTTGTATTTCATTGCATTGTTTCACTGGGCCTTTCCAAAATCTTGAATTAGGAGTAATGTTTATAACTTGGAGATAATAATCAGAAAAGTAGAAAATTACAGATGGAATTTGTTACTTAAATAAGCAGGCAAAAATGCTGTGTGTTGTGAACAGACAGTTCAATGTTTTCATGTTACTTCTTGTTCTCTCCTCTTTTTAAAATTAGGTTACAGGTTTGCAAGCAACATTACAAAATTTAGAATCTGGATGTGCTATTCAGATTCCTGTGACAAAAGGTAAAATATTCCTATCACAAAGCTCAGACTAGTTATGGGTGTTTTGTTGCTGTGATGCATTTCAGAATCTGGTGTAACAATAAATCAAAAATATTTGCACTATAAACATTTTATCACCTGTCCTGGTGACAGAGCAGCAATTTTATCATTTGAATATCTATTTGTCATGGGTTGAGGCTGGGCTGGCCACT